TCCAAAAAAGGCTACGGCACCCATCACGCTTCGGTAGTGTTCATAGTCATACTTCAGATTAAAAAATCATCAAACCTGTAAAGTGGGCGGAGTAAAGTTACTATGCAACTGAGAGATGACGAACAGGTGTTCAGAAAACTATTTTGTTCAATACAATACAATGAACAGGGCTCTACTCTTCCACCCACAAATACAAAATACTTAAAAAATAAAAACAAGAAACATATATATATATATATATATATATATATATATATATATATAATATTTATCAAAAAGTTAATTAAATAATGTTTTGATAAGAATGTTTTATCACCGGAAGAACTGACTTCGTGGGCCGAATAAGGCTTGCAGGCCATAGTTTGGTGGTCCCAGCTTTAGATCTTTAGATTATCATTACCTGGTAAGTGAAGTTGTAACAGTAAAAAGCCAAAGATTATTGCTTCCCATTTGGTGGCTGAATGCATGTGTAAACCTGCTTGTCAGCAAAGTATTGCTGAGGTATGGGGACAAAACCATTGTACATGAAGTATGTTACTGAGAGATATGTCACAGATTGGCACACCTGGTGTCAAAACAGTCAAGGTGGAGCTATTTGAATAGCTGAGAAATGTTCTCGTTTCAATATTTTAGGATCCAATGGACATCATTTTGACTGTCAGGGGGTGGGCTACTCGATCAGGTCCAGCCCAGGCTGATGGGTATACAACGTTGCAGCAAACAGATGGAGGAACTCCATTTAATTTATTTGCCTTTGTGGGAATCAAACTTGCTTCTGATGCCGTCAAGATGAAGAACCTAAACAATTACAGTGGATCTGGGGATTCAACGAAAACTCGACTCATCGAAAGGAGATGGATTCCCTGGGTTCTTTTTATTAGTTTAAAATCAATCGAAATAACCGGGTTTCAACGAACAGAAGTCGCTGCAGGGAGAACAGTCCCTGCTGAAGTGGCTTTGCTCATTTTTCTTCTGCAACATACATTATCCATTCCTGAAAACCATCCATGGCATCTGCATTGTGAACCATTATTCGCTTAGCCTATTTTTATAATCTTATGCCGCCAATCAGCCGCCTTCTTTCATACCAACAAACACGTTGTTGTCCCCGCCCATGTGTGATGGGATCGGACCTGCGACGTGTGTCTATGTGTATGTGTGCATGTGTCTGGGGGGAGGGGGAGGGGGAATAAGCAGGCTGGGCGTGAAACATCAGTAGTCAGTAGAAATACAAACGCGTTACAAGTTACAGTACAGTGGAACTCGGATTCAACGAGATGAGATAGATTCCCCATTTTTTTTCTTCTTCTTTAAAATCAATAAAAATAACCCGGATTCAACGAGCACTTAAATCAGGGAGCTCGGATTCAACGAGGTCGCTTCCAGGGTGAACAGCCCCTGCAGACGTGGCTTCGCTCATTTTTCTCCCAGAACGAACTTTATCTATTCCTGGAAACCATCCATTGCATCTGCATCGTGAACCATTATTCACTTAGCCGATTGCATGCGACCAATCAGCGGCCTTTTTCCATACCAACATATGCGTTGTTGGCATGCGCACATGTCTACTCTGGCGTGTGTCGGGGTCGGATGGGCGGCCTGCACACGTGTGACTGTGTGTGCGTGTGTCGGGGAGGGGGGAGGGGGTACTACTAGCGGTCCGGGCGTTGAACGTCGCAGATACAAACGCGTCAGTCTTTTTTCCCCCCGGCAACTGATCAATATTACAATGATAAGCTAGTCTTGACGTAGATCTGCGTAATGAATTGTACGCTGGTCTATGGAATCAAAAGTTGCCATATGTTAGGCTCTACACAGCGACACAACTTTTTGGTAAACATCGAGATGACACAGGCGTGTGCCTTTGAACGAATCTGTCTTTTTTTAAACACAGCTCATAATGTGTAGGCTTTTCAGGCACTACTTGTGACTTCTCTTTATACTACATTACTTGCTCAGTGCCTGTAATTATCTACACTAAACCTCGTGTTTGCTATATAATGAACACTCGGATTCAACGAGATTTTAGGTCGGGCCCGGCGACCTCGTTGAATCCGAGTTCCACTGTACTCACGAGTCATTTTTCCCCGGCAACAGATCAATATTACAATGATAAATGATAAATGATAAGTGATAAATGATAAATGATAAGCTAGTCTTGACTACAGATCTATGAAATGAAGTGCGCCCTGGCCAATGGAATCAAGCATCACCATATATGCTAGGCTATACACAGAACACAACTTGTTCGGCAAACAACACACAGGCGCACATTTGAAATAATCCGACCTTTCGCACAGCGTGTGCTTGGTAGAGTTCAGTGTACATGTATTTTCCTAGAACTTCCAAGCATTTCTTTGGTATGGCATCAAATAAACGAAAAAACCTCTCACTTGAAACCAAACTACAGGGTGATTTAAAAAAACCTAAATAATTTTTTTGGTAAATATTTTCCTCCACACCAAAGTTTTGTGTTTCAAATTTGTACACATTTTTGGAGTTGAAAGGAATTTGTCCCATTCTCATTTGAGATAAATCCACATAATAGTTTTCCTCTTCATAGTATGTACAAAAACAACCCATTTTCAGCTGTTCCCCAATTTTGTAGCATGACGCACAAGTTCGCATTTGAGTATCAACGATTGGGCCATATAGCAAGCTACAGTAGTCTAACAGGCCAACAGAAGTTTGTAGATAGTTTTTCTCAAGTTTCCTTTGCTTGTTTAGATCATGGTTGAGATTAGTAAAGAGCGGAGAGCTTTTTGGCATTGAACACTTCTTCACCACCAGCTCATTTCGTAAGTTCCACACAAGAAGTGAAAATAATGTTTAAAGTGTCTCCTTTTTCAAAGGCCTCCTTTGATGTCACAAGGGAGAAAATGGTTTATCTGTTAGGATCTGTAGAGAACCAGAACTAAAAATTCCCTGACAAAATGACCACTTCAGGTCAAACACACCGTTGTCACCAGGGAGCAGCATTCAGTAGATGAGCCCCATGAGACATCTGTCCATAGACAATGTCTGCAGCTAGGACTTTCCTTCATCTCATGGTCTGCATTCTCAAGGTAGATCTTCATCTACGACTGTACCATTTTCCTGTTCTGGAAACTGACCTGGATCACGGATAGCAATGTTTTCATGATTACTCCATATGACATTTGGTTCATTGGCAAAGCCCATTCACCTTTCAGGATATGTTAACTCCACAAATGTTGTTTATTTGGGTAACCCCATTGTCTCTCAACTCCATACTGTTAGGTGTACAGAGGGAATGGCTTTGAGTATTCATGGTTGGGTGGATCCTTGTGTTTGGTCACCACTGAACATGTGTTAAAATGTGTCCAGTCCTAAGAAGGACATATATAGAGCACTGGTTCTCACAATTCCAGAATTTGTACAAATATTTTTTTAAACCTCTGAAAGAGAAAAGTAATATTGTTTAAATATTACAGGGATGGAAAGATTAGATTTTTACAAGAAAAGGAAGGGAAAAAACACAAACCAATCATTTCATGACTCTCCTTACAAGATCTTATAAATTTGTGCATTTTGGGTTTATAGGAGTTTTTAAAATAAAAGTCATATATCTGTTTTCAAAACCAAGTTTTTTCTTTATGAATTTTATGTCAAACAAATTCCTTTTGGATGAATCATATCTGTTCTAAATTGCAACATTCTAGTACAAATTTTGAGCGAGAAATTCCGAAAAGTTGTTTAGGGTTTTTTTGGGATCACCCTGTAATTTTGATTTGTGGAAGTCGAATCCATTATACATTACTTGCCCAGCGCCTGTAATTATCTACACAAAAAAACCTTATGTTTACTATAATGAACACTCGGATTTAACGAAATTGAAGGTCGAGCCTGACAACTTCTTTGAATCCAAGTTCAATTGTACACTGCAGACCCTGGTAAAAAATGCTTTGAGGAAAATCGTTATATATTGAAACGCAAAAAGAGACTTCGCTTGTGACCTTCAAGCACTATTCTCTTTGAGAACTTTTCAAACAGAATACTTGTGATCTGTTGTGTCAAAGTCAGGATTTGACTGTCTTAATTTCCTTGCTTCTCTAGCTCCTCAAAAATGTTTTTCTTAAAAACCTTGCTGCCACTTGCTGCACACCACTTTGGGGTTTGATCAAATCAGAGGGGTTCCCACTGGTTCACATCAATGGAGCAATCTTTCAGAGAAGTCTTCATAGCGTCTTCATATCTTTTTTTAAGGGGGGCACTAATTTTCTATCTTCCACAGGTGGGTGGTTGGCGGGTGCTTTGGTGTGGTTTTCTTCTTCTTTCCTATCAAACATCTATCGTCCTTATCTCCCCCTTCTTATTTTTTATGTTTGTAACACTCTTGTAACACCTCTAATCTTCAGGCGCTCATATGACCTTATGCAGTTGCGAGCGCCGTAAAACCTGTACTAAAACTAAACGCGCTGGGTACAATAAAAACACATGTAGCTTTGACTTTGAGTCTGGCATTCAGACCAAGTGGCCTGCAAGTGCACCGATAGCGCTTAAAACTGCCCATATGCCTAGCCATCGGTGTAGCGGTGAGCGAGACCCTATCCCCAACCCAGCCCTTTCAACATGTATAACATACACAACTGTACTTAATCAATCATTAACAATAATATTCTTTAGTACTGAAAGAACACAAGATTTGAATGTCAAAAGATACATTTAATTATTGTACAACAGCTGGATGCTTTGCCATTCAAAAAAACAAGGACCCTGGATAAATTTTGCTACATGATGCATCTGACAAGGAACGAAATATGAGCTGCACAGAAGAAAAATTCCCACCAAAAAGTTGAAAACAGTGCGAATATATATATATATATATATATATATATATATATATATATATATATATATATATATATATATATATATATGTGTGTGGTATTAATAACTGACAACTGCCATAATAACACCTCTACTCTGTGAAATACTTCAAGCTACATCCATTATAATGTAAAGTATTTTTAGGAGAAAAAAACACCCTCAAGCCCCGGTTACATCCAGCGATAAAACATATCAGATTTGACTTATGCGAGCTGTCTGTTTTATCAAACTGCATATTCTGTTTACATTCCAGTCTATCATCTAATTCTTTTACAATTTAGGGAGACTCCCTGGGTCAGAAGACCGCAATGTTTCTTTGTGACAACAGTGACTTGTTTGCAGTATATGTGCTCTTACTAAACAAAAGACCAACTTTTAAAGTTTAAAGCAAAATATAGTAAATGCATAAGATCGCATCCAATAGCTTTGAGGTCTCATGCTTTTTTAATCTTTTCTTTAATATTGTTGAGACGGTTACTTTTAAACCGCAAGTCTGTAGTTGCATCTCAGTTAAAACTGTTAGGACAATTACAAAAAAATGTTCTACACTCTCTTTACATTTTATTACTGAAGTTTTTAGCCTTGATCTTCCACAGACATTCATGGGACCTTTACATTATGATAAAGAAAAGAACAGTGTCTTTCGACCTAGTTGCTATACGTTACAGGGAAATCAGATTTACTTCCTTCACTCTCTCTTTTTTAAATTATCAACAGAGCACAAAAGTGTCATGTTTTCTATTGCTGACCTTTGGCAATAGCAAACCCGTGCAAAGTTCAAAACACATCTGCAGGTACTCTCCTTCTTCAACTACCCTCTTGTGTTCATGTTACCCTAATCCGTTCCTGGTGAAATCAGGCCACTGTCATAAAGACCCATCATAAACTACAATTCAGCAACCTGACTCTCCATGTGCAATTAGAAAGAAAAAAAATTGATGACATGCAGTAATGATTTTAAAAAGCTGGCTTCATCTCATGGTCTGCATTCTCAAAGTAGATCTTCATCTACGACTGTACCATTTTCCTGTTCTGTAAACTGACCTGGATCATGGATTGCAATGTTTTCATGATTACTCCATATGACATTTGGTTCATTGGCAAAGCCCATTCACCTTTCAGGATATGTTAACTCCACAAATTTTGTTTATTTGGGTAACCCCATTGTCTCTCAACTCCATACTGTTAGGTGTACAGAGGGAATGGCTTTGAGTATTCATGGTTGGGTGGATCCTTGTGTTTGGTCACCACTGAACATGTGTTAAAATGTGTCCAGTCCTAAGAAGGACA